GAGGTGGCTCTGCAGGGCATCGAGTTCTGGTCCAACGTGTGCGACGAGGAGATGGACCTGGCCATCGAGGCCTCCGAGGTGGCCATTTGGGAATTCGGGAATTGGGGGGGAATTCTGGGATTGTCCCGTTGGGAATTCTGGCATTGTCCCATTGGGAATGCTGGCATTGTCCCATTGGGGATTCCGGGATTGTCCCATTGGGGATTCAGGGATTGTCCCATTGGGAACGTCAGGATTGTCCCCCTGGGGATTCCGGGATCATCTCATTGGGGATTCGGGAATCTGGGATGGTCCTGTCAGGAATTCGGGGATAATCCCATTGGGAATTTGGGACAATCCCATTGGGGATTCTGGGATCATCCCATCGGGAATTCGGGGATTGTCCCATTGGGAATGTCGGGATTGTCCCATTGGGGATTCCAGGATCATCTCATTGGGGATTCGGGAATCTGGGATGGTCCCATCGGGAATTCTAGGACAATCCCATTGGGAATCTGGGGCAATCCCATTGGGGATTCAGGGATAATCCCGTTGGGAATTCTGGGACAATCCCACTGGGAATTCTGGGATCGTCCCATTGGGGATTCCGGGGATCATCCCATTGGGAATTTGGGGATTGTCCCACTGGGAATTCCAGCATCTTCCCTTTTGGGAATTTAGGGATCATCCCATTGGGAATTCTGGGATCGTCCCATCAGGAATTCCGGGATCATCCCATTGGGAATGTCGGGATTATCCCGTTGGAAGTGTCGGAATTGTCCTGTTGGGAATTCTGGGATAATCCCATTGGGAATTCTGAGATCATTCCATTGGGAATTCCAGGATCGTCCCCTTGGGAATGTCGGGATCATCCCGTTGGGGATTCCAGCGTCTTCCCTTTGGGAATTCTGGGATCATCCCGTTGGGAATTCTGGGATCATCCTGTTGGGAATGTCAGGATCGTCCCATTGGGAATTCCAGGATTGTCCCATTCAGAATTCCTGGATCATCTTGTACAGAATTTCGGGATCATCCCATCGGGAATTCCAGGATCATTCTGTCGGGAATTTGGGATCATCCCATCGGGAATGCCCAATCCCACCCCGGGGGCTCCTCCTGCTCCTCCAGGGGATGTTTTGGTTTTGGGGTCACCAGCACGGAAAAAAGAATTCCCAGAGGAGTTTTTAGGTTCTTTCCTGGTGTTTTTAGCTCCTCATTTTGGGAATTTTCAGCTCCTCATTTTGGGAATTTTCAGCTCCTTATTTTGGGAATTTTCAGCTCCGCATTTGGGAATTTTCAGCTCCTCATTTGGGAGTTTTCAGCTCCTCATTTTAGGAATTTTCAGCTCCTCATTTTGGGAATTTTCAGCTCCTCATTTTGGGAATTTTCAGCTCCTCATTTTGGGAATTTTCAGCTCCTCATTTTGGGAGTTTTCAGCTCCTCATGCGGTGCTGGCCCTGCCTGGGCCAGGGCTGCTTTTGGGGTCACCAACAGGAAAAGGAATTTTCACCTTCTTAACCACTGAAAAACATGAAAATTCCATGAAAACAGATAAAAACATGGATGAAAATAAACTTTTCCCCATTTTTTGTCCCTGCAGGCAGCAGAACAGGGACGGCCCCCMGAGCACACCAGCAAGTTCTACGCCAAGGGGGCTCTGCAATATTTGGTCCCAATCCTAACCCAGACCTTAACAAAACAGGTGAGTGCCAAATTCCCACGTGGAATTCCTGCTCTGGATCCTTTGGGAATGGGGTTTGGATGTCCCAAAATCCCAAAAATCCCTCGGGAGTGGCAGTTCCTGGTCTGGGATGAGCTCTCATGCACCACTCTGAGCCGGTGATGCAGCGATTTTGGGGCTGAGACTGGGACTTGCCTCTGTTTGCCCTGGAGAAATCCCTGCATTTGGGGTTTCCGGAGAGATTTGGGGATTCCTTAAATTCCTGATGGAATATTTGGGGTGTTGAASCCAAAATCCCAMAGCTCCTGCCTCGTCTGAKRTGCAGTTCCTGGGATTTTTGAGGAATTGGAGCTCAGTCCCTCCTGAGTGAGAGGGAAAAGCTCTTTTTGGGAAGTGGAGGAGTCAGAAAGGCCCTGAAAGTTTCAGAGTCTGAGCTTTGTTGGGAAAGGAGATTTTTTACGGTGCAGAGACCACTCTGGAAGGGATTTCATGGATCAAAGGGATCAAATCCCACCAGGATGAGAGGGAAAAGCACCTGGGGAAGGGGAAAGGTCCCAAAGCTTTCAGAGCCTCAGTTTAGGTGGGAAAGGAGCATTTTAATGGTGCAGAGACCACTCTGGGAGGGTTTTCATGGATCAAAGGGATAAAAATTCACCTGGATGAGAGGGAAAARCACTTGGGGAAGTGAATGAGGCC